TATATATATATATATATATATATATATATCATGCTATCATAAATGCAGTTAATCGCTTATAACAGGATCCAGCAACAAGTGGTTAACTCAGGTAGGAAGCAGCGTCTAGCTACACTATCAACCAAATTTAGAAAAGCTTCAATACTTGCTGGGAGTTTTATCTGGGACTCAGCGGGAGATCAGTCACTTTATGTGGAGAGGACCGCGAGTAGCTGATGTATTCATGTTGCTAACCCTGATTGGTACTTTGGCAGATCTGACGTCACCTGCGCCTAAGTTAGTCCCACCCAACTCAAACAGGATCCATTTGTATGAGAACGCTGACTTGGGTCTTTTACAACGGTACCAAGGGTCCTGGGGGGAGTTGATGAAGATATAAGAGCTGTCTGAACTTCTGTTTAGACTGGGTGTTGGTGGCAGGGATGGACAGAGCGCTCTGTTGAATAAAATAATCACTTCTGAGAGGCCCGGTCTCCTGAGTCTCTTCCATGGCAAGATCAAAGATTTACATCAGTTTCAACAGGCCTGTTGTGATTTCCACTCTTAGAGAATTCCTTCTTGGTAGCAAAACAAATCTTCAAAACAGCGTTGAATCACCAGCTAGGCGATGGACACGGAGTGGACTGTGAGTGCCCTTTGTCACTCTTCTTGCTTTTCGCCGAGCCAGTCAGAAGAAAATCATCATGGAAAAGTGGGCCCTCACTCTCGACGAGGAAGCTTATTTCTGTCTTTCTTCCTTTCTCCGGCGGAACGTAATTCCTCCTGACCACACAGCTGCTGCGCCGAAAATTATAACCCATTACAAAAGCCACTTGGATTAATTTTTTTTTTCCCCTTACCCTCGAGTGCACAAGAAGAGCTCTTGAAGAGCGGAGCCTTTCTCAGATGAATGGGAGTAATTGAAAAGGAGTAACACTTTCGGAGGACTGGATATGCACATGACAGCAGCACTCTCATAAATAGCGGCAGGGACAGAGGAATGCCTGCATGAACAAGACTCCGCCACAGTCGCCCGTAATGTCGGTGATGTATTGGCAATACGAGGCTCCGTTGTCCACGGACCTCGCAGAAATGAAACTGTCATCATACTTTTTATGTGCCATTACATGTGACATGAGCTGGGTGCTCTCTAAGATTAGGCCTTCAGAGGTCACTAACGAATGGGGTCAACTGGAGAGGGAAATCTCCTAGTGTCATTAATGAGAGCCATTTATTACAACACTGCAGTTTCTCTCTCTCCCTCTGTCTCTCTGTCTCTCTCTCTGCCTCTCTCTCTCTCTCTCACACACACACACTCATACACTGATAATTGAATCTCCTTCATACTCGAATGGACCAGGACAAAAATCATTTCCCAGCCGCAAGTCTCAGAAGACGAGCTTTGTGTACTGACTTTTTTGTGGTTTTTCTCCGCTTTATTATTCCAAAGACTGACGTGAATGGTATACAATGCCTGTGTTTCATCTTAATTAACAAGAATATCTCATAGATTAAACAAAAGGGAAGTGGATAGACTCAAGGCCTGTTTACACCTTGCATCAACATGCATTTTTGGAGATGAGATCACGTTCGTATTTCACTTGACCACATGAAAAGCCTGGTGTGAACACAACCAAGACGCATAGTGAGCGTTTTACGAGCAGATCATGCAAACCACATTTGGAGGTGGTTGGAGACGGATCTTGACCGCATTTGAAGGGGAACTCCACCGATTTTGCAAAATTACTTAATCATTCAGTGGTTTAGATGTAAACAAAATCATTCAGAGTGATTTGGTGTGAAATGTGCCTTTCTAGAGAAATTTAATGAACCAGAATTTATCACCATTATAGTACTCGGAACCAGATGTCGTTATGTCTACACTACAAATATCACCATTTTATCTGCTATCCAAAATGACCAGTGAACTTACATCCCTACAACGGTGATCAGTTTTGAATAGTAAGGTGCATTTCACCCCACTCTAAATGATTTTGTTTACATCTAAACCACTGAATGATTAAGTCATTTTGTAAACTCGGAGGAGTTCCCCTCTAACACAAGGGTAAACGGATGTTTTCGTTATCCGTGTACAATTACAAGAGTGGAAATGCGTCTGCTGAGTGCTCACAAGCAAGTGAGAAGATTAACAATGAAACAAAAGCTGGAGGATATGTGAGGCTGGCTTTATGTTTAAACTAACAAATCTGATCCACTTATATTGAGGCAGATTTCCTCTTTCTGTAGGCCCCCTAGTGGCCATTCCATCAGTGGACCAGAAATCAACTAAGATATTGTTAATTAACATCATCAAATAAAGTATTTTTTTCCAATAACTCTGTGAGCAGATTAAGGAGGCTGTTGGCTCTTGAGCTGCTAGCGAGCAGTAAGGGGTGACAGGGGAGGGTTGAGAACACCCTGCTGTGAAAACAGTTCACACCTCTCCACAGAGATGGCAGTGCTGAGATAAAAGGAATAGCACAACTGCAGCTTTCTTAATGTCATAAAACTGTGTACAATAAAAAAAGTAGTTAAACACAATAAAAACACTTTTGTAAATGCAAACGTACGAGAAGAAAATTCCAGTTCACTTTCAGTTTTGTAAATCATGCACATTTTTATCAAACTAGCCAGCAATGGCTAGTTCTGCTGGTTAGTTTGTTGTTCATGACACCTTCTCTAAAACAGGCAGTGCATTTTATACACTGTAAAAAAATGACACAATGCTTTAACTTAATGTTGCAACCCTGTTTGCCTTTTTTTGAGTTTTGAGTTAGTTGAACTTCTAATAGTGTTTTACATTTAAAACGTATTATTGCAAGTTCAATGAACTCAAAATTTCAAGGCAACCAGGAATTCCTCTAGTCCTCTAGTCGAACCAAATTCCTCTAGTCTTTGTATTTTTAACATCTGGAATCATCAATAACACAAGCAAAACAAGCTGGCTAGCTAGCGAAATTGTTAGCCAATGGAAATGTTTATCCTTTGCAAGAGGTAATGTTTATTTTTGTTGCATGTAACGTGTCCTCTGCACACATGACACATCTACATGCTTCACTGGAGTTTTCTGGGGGGCTCTTCATGCTAACTTATGTTACATCCATGGGCTAACGGCAGGCTTGTTGTCTGCCCAGCAATGCTGATGAGCACACCATTACCCTTTACTTTAAGCTCTGCTTTCACGTAGTAGCCACGTTTAGATGCAGCCTGATAATCCGTTAATAATCCGACTAATAGCTCAATCGGAATAGAATACGTCCATGTAAACACCTCAATCGGAATAGTCTAGTCCGATTGAGGCCATTCGGAATACAATTTCTATCCGATTGAACGAGGTGGGTAAACCTCTAAATAATCCGTTAAATAGAAGAATAATAGCCATGTAAACGCCTGAATCCGATTACATTCCAATCGGAACGTGTAAGTATGTTCTGCGCATGTGCGTCGCGTCATGGCGAAAGTTTATACCGTTCAGCATGGCGGAGCAGAAACTGGTCTGCAGAGGAGACGAAGTTTATGCTCTGATCTTTAAAAGACGGCGGTGGGACGGACTTCCAGCTTATGAGTCTCAGAACACGACGTCTTCCTCTCACCGCTTCCTTTATAAGCTCATGAGAAGGACGTTTTTCTTAGTCTGACATCATTTTAAAGCAATTAAGACACAAGCGCGCCAACTGGAAACTCATCTCACTCGGACTGGACCTCACGTGATGTTCACTGTCATGGTAACGTTTACACTAAGCGCTACTCCACGCATGCGTGTCATTTTGCATCGGATTACTTGTAGTGAGCATATAAACGAAGATTTTCCATCAAATTGTTGAATAGAGTGCATATAAACACCTCAGTCTGAATCTGTAATCGGACTGTATTCAATTGGATTGGCAAAAATCTGTGCATGTATACATAGCCAGTGTTAGATTAATTTAGAAGTTACAGACCGAGTTTGTTCCCACCCTAATAAGTTTATGGTCCCACCCACATTTAGCCCCAAGTTTCTCATGGTTGTCCCCAGATGTTCTTGTTATGAGATCATGTCTGGCCCCATGAGACTAAACACGCCTAAGCTAATCAGCATTCTACAGTTCTTGATTAGTTGACTCAAGTGCGCTTAAAGCTGTAGTAAGTTCGCTTAGCAACTCAATGCAGTTTGAGGCAAGTGTGTGATTTAGGCATGAAATCTGCCCAATGTTAACTGGTGAGGTATAAATTTCCATGTTAGCCTTGTAGCTTCAAAGCAAAATTAAAAAAAGCAACCTTCAGACAGCAAACATGTTTTGGCTGATCTACTACAATTGGGATAAGGGGAAATTGTGTAAATCTGATTTTTCTTTAAATGAGTTAGTGTGACCTGTGCAACTCAACATGATTGATATCTTTATCTCCTAAGGGCAGAGCCAATACCTATCTGGTGATGCAGTGAGTCTAGGTGATACAGGTGAGTGTATCTGGATTGTAAGCATTTTCATATGTTAGTCTTTGTTAGGAAGTTTAAACTGCTTGCTTTTTATTAGTTTTTATTATTTTAAGAATGAAAATTTTATGGAAGAAGTTTTGATTGGTTTAGATTACCCTGAACGAAGGGGCAACTATTTGGGAAATGTGCACTATTAATGATATGTTTAGGCATTCAACCACATCTACTATAGACTGCATCATAAGCATGGGCACCCATTCACCCAATGTAGTAAAAAAGGACTTCCAAATGCCACAACCATCAGGAGATACCACAGCCATCCGTGCCTGTGAGTCCAAGGGAGCAGAACTGGTCGCACCCTCAGTAGATGACCTGGACCTCCCTCTCCCCCTTTACTCTGCGCAATACTAATCTTACTATCAGATACTTGCAAGCATGTTGAACTGTCCAGTGATGTTGTATTAGCTGTAGTTTGAAAAGATACGGTAGCTCATCTCACGTGACTGAGAGGAGCCCTACTGGCCTCAGTTTCCCAGCTTCACTACATCGTATCATGGGGTGACCTAGGTTTTACCATGAATAAGTGAATGAAAGTATGTCTTACCTGGCTGGCAGGGGTCTGGCCCACCACCGACTCATATGGTGGTGGTAGTTCTGACGGGTACAAGGTTCCTGGGCTGTTGATAGGCACACCATATATGGCACTGAAGGGAGAGTGAGGGAAGTCTAGATGCAGGCCTCTGATGGAAGAAAGAAACAACTATTTAGGCTTTCACAATGTATCAATGTATCATTTCTACTTTTCTGAAGTTGAAGGCATAATCCACATGTTTTGTGTATTTTTGTGTTTTCTGTGTTATTCTTGATCCTTTTTTAAACTTGCATTGTATTAGATTTTAGCAAGAAATTCAAAATAATAATTGAATAGGTAGGAATTTATTATAGCCATTTATTTAAAAAGGAAATATTTGGTAAGATTCCAGTATAAGGGAGCATTATAATGCCCCTGTAATGATCTTATTAAGTCTTATCAAGCACGTAGCTGCTCATTACTGCTATATTAGGCAAAACCGAGAGTGAATTATGCATTTTACAAGGCCCTGGACTGTTGATGGGCACACCATATATTGCACTGAATTATATATGCGTGTATGTGTGTATTATACATCTTAATCCGTTGTGCATCATTTATTAATTCATTGATTGATTGACATTAATATGGATTGATAACATTAATATGATATTAATATGAGAAAATACACACATTATAGACCCAATGCTCAGGTACAAGCTGTGCACAAGATTATGATGTAAAATCCAAAAATAAATGCGCTCTGAAAAATGGTTAGTTCACCCTACTGACTGCTTAATGAAGTAGTAACAAAGAACCAGCTGATGAGCATTTGTTGTCATGTCTTCAGGTAGACAGTTACGCTTTATCACAGGAAATGTGTGGTGTATCTCTTGGTTTATCATGTCTTGAAATAAAGGTCCTAACTCCTTCTAATAAGTTTGCTGTCTTCCTTGTTCTAACATATCTCTAACTCACCTCATGAACGGCCTGATTATTAGTTGATAAGCCTATGAGATTATGAAAACTGTTACATTCAGGTTAAGTGCAAACTGACCTGTGTTGCTCTACTCAATTTATATTAGTCAAGAAAGTCATTTGTAGTTTAGGAGTGTATAAAATAAATGCTTTGAGGCTAATGTGTGATCACAGAGGCATGTTTTCACAATACTAATGTGACAGTAGGGGTGTGGCCTACTGTCAGCTGGAAGTTGGAGAGGCGGGCTGAGCGAACCAGCAGATAATCAGTAATGCTCTGTACATCTGTGCACTTAATAATTAGGTGCTTTTTCTCAGTAGGATGCAGGGGCGTAAAGTCAATAGTATACTTCAAACAAAAACAACGTTTCAAAGTCAAACAACACCTTTTTGGCCAAAATAGTGCAGTGATTGTGTTTGTGTGATGCACCGTGCACCTAAACATAACTCCTAAGCACTGCATTGTTTATTCTGAGACCCCCCCACCTGAACGCGATTGGTCCCTATCACTGCAATGTTTGTTCTGAGATCTCCACCTGACTGCGATTGGTCCTAATCACTGCATCGTTTGTCCTGTGACCTCCCTCTGACTATGATTGGTCCTAATTACTGCAATGTTTGTTCTGAGATCTCCCCCTGACTGCGATTGGTCCTAATCACTGCATCGTTTGTCCTGAGACCTCCCTCTGACTGCGATTAGTCCCTATCACTCCAATGTTTGTTCTGAGATCTCCCCCTGACTGCGATTGGTCCTAATCACTGCATCATTTGTCCTGAGACCTCCCTCTGACTGCGATTGGTCCTAATCACTGCATCGTTTGTCCTGAGACCTCCCTCTGACTGCGATTGGTCCTAATCACTGCATCGTTTGTCCTGAGACCTCCCTCTGACTGCGATTGGTCCTAATCACTGCATTGTTTGTTCCAAGAACTTTCCCTGACTATGCTTGGTCCTAATCATTACATCATTCATTCTAAGACCTCCCCCTGACTGCGATTGGTCCTAATTACTGCATCATTTGTTCTGAGACCTCCCCCTGACTGTGACTGGTCCTAATCACTGGATTGTTTGTTCCAAGAACTCCCCCCGATTGCGACTGGTTCTAATCACTGTCGTTTATTCCAAGAACTCCCCCTGACTGGTTCTAGTCATTGCGTTGTTTGTTCTGAGACCTTTCCCTGAATCTGATGGGTCCTAATCACTTTGTCGTTTGTTCTGAGACCTCCCCCTGACTGCGATTGGTCCTAATCACTGCATCGTTTGTCCTGAGACCTCCCCATGACTGTGATTGGTCCTAATCACTGCATCGTTTGTTCTGAGACCTCCCCCTCACTCTGACTGGTGTTAATTACTGTGTCATTTGTCCTGAGACCTCCCCCTGACTGCGATTGGTCCTAATCACTGCATCGTTTGTCCTGAGACCTCCCCCTGATTGTGATTGGTCCCAACCACTGCATCGTTTGTTCTGAAACCTCCTTCTGACTGTGAGTGGGCCTAATCACTGCACCATTTGCTCTGAGAACTTCACCTGACTGTGATTAGCCCTAATCAATGTGCCGTTTGTTCTGAGACTTTCCCCTGACCGTGACTGGTCCTAATCATTTCACCGTTTGTTCTGAGAACACGTGCCAGTTGTGCTGTCCATGGACATGGTTTCCACTTGTATCATACCATCCAGTATATGTTGCTTTTTCTGCCCGAATGCTCTGGCTCAGTTGGTAAAGTTATGTCATATCAAACAAACACCATACAGGAAGTCATGGGAAACCCTGGCAAAGAATGGTAAAATTAAAATGTACTTTCTAATTCCACAAATGACAATCTACATTTTCTAGTAACATCTTATTTTACTTGTACATAGGGTACACAATAATTTGACATAAGAGCTGGTATAATTGCTGCGAACAAAGCAATTTAAACAAGTTTCTCTGCCTTTGCCACTACTTAAAAAGCAGCAAGCCTGCACAGGTAAATGGAGAACACCCTCTGTTGTGCTGTTTTTTTCGGAACAGACTCTGGTGTTGCATCTCGCCACTCGGGGCTGTTTCCACTGTTTTTCAAACTGTTTTGCACTGGACGTGAAGGATTGTTGGATGACTGAAGATCTCGAAGGATACACCAGTTGAGCCTTTTGAACTTTTAGAAATGAAGGATGCATTTTTCTGCCACATTCAAGCAATTCTACAAAGAGAACAGCCTTCAGTGACGTAACAGCCAAGAAATCGAGCCTTCCGTGACTGCATCCTTGGCTTTGAGATGGTTGTCTGCTTCACTGCATAGAGTGGCCTCTAGCAGTGCTAACAGTCAGAAAGACATGCAATGAGCTCTTCTTAAGTATATGTACTACATCGTGTTTGGTGGTAGTTCAATTTTATTAAGTTCTTTCATTGTTTGAAGTACCCTGCCAGCTAAAAGGAAGAGAGATGAGACACAGAGATGAGGAATAAGAAAAAGACTAAAATTTTTGAGGCATTATTGTGTTGATTCAGAAGAGCACTTTAAGTTTATTAAAAGAGACCCTTAATAGGGAGGGTGACACCTTTGTGTTGAGCTGCATCTACCTCATTCCTCTACATACCAAGGGTATTAGAGTGGGCTATAAGCTTAAGTTATTTTGTTAGCTGTGTTACCCTTCTAGCTCATAAATCCTAAAACCTTTTCAAACCAAACAGGCCTTGGCTGATTTACATATGAGGTAAGGGGAAAATTAGATTTTTTGCTTCAACAGATGGCTGAAAAATCAAAATTGAGGACGTAAAATCCACCAGATTCTTTTTCCCCAGATATCAAACCCACTGAAGTATCCCATCTTTTTAATTAAACTCCTCTCCTGGCTTGCTTCAGGGTATCAGGGTATAACATACTGTCCCCATCAATCTCCCAGTGCTTCATGATGTCATGCTAAGCAGGTGATTTGTAGCTAGCAGTATATGTGCACAGGCTCATATGCTTATACTGTATTTAGGGCTTCATTGGCATGCAAGCATGGCCTGAGGCCAAAGCGCCTCATCAGCAGGTTTTTACAAGCAGACACAGGGCGAGCGTGCGACACTGGCAGAATTGATGGTGGATTTACGCTGGGCCACGGACACAGCTGCTCTACAATGTGGACTGTCTGGGCAGCTGCTAACCTTAGGCTAATTTACATTGTAGCCCAATCTGGCTCAAAGAGTAACACATCAGACGCAACCACATCAGGGACAGTGTCAACTGAAATGATGTTTCTGTTGTGGTTATCAGTGGAGCTCACACATGGTCGTTCCTTAGATTCCAGAATCATACACTCTTAAAAAAGATGGTTCTTCAGTGGTTTCTTTAGTAAAGAAAATGGTTCTATATAGAACCATGAACACTCAAAGAACCCTTTCCATGACTAAAGGGTTCTTTGCATCGTTAAAGAGTTCTTCAGATTGATGGCAAATGTGTTGTGATTCTATTTAGAACCTTTTGAAAATGGTTCTGTATAGCACCAAAAAGCGTTCTTCTATTGTTACAATGTCAAGCCTGTAACAATAGCAGAACCCTTTGGTGCTATATAGAACCTTTTCAAAAGGCATTGAACTATATAGTTCTATCTAGAATCATTTTCTTTACTAAAGAACCCTTGAAGAACCTTTTTTAAGTGTGTACCTCAATGTACAATTAACATAAACCTATACAGACATTCATAAAGACTTAATCCAACAAGTGTTACTCATAACACTCACTGAAGAGAAATCACAAGTTGAAAAATCAACAAATTAGAAAATAATTGTTGATAAATATCAATGTTTTTATTATTTAGGGTCAACTTGAAATCAAAATAGACTTTTGTTACTTTATTAGTTCAACTCTCTCTCTCCAAATCATCATATCATAATTTAAAAGACAAAATTCTTGTTTTTCTGAAATTTTCCATCAAAACATATAGCCCTACATATATATATATAGTGACTATAGCCCCCCCACCGTCATCTGCTATCAAGCAGAACACTCAGCTATGTTTCTCCCTTTCCCTGTAAAATATGCCAAGACACAAAAGGAAAATGTTTTATAAATTTAATATTACAGAACTTTCATAGTTATTTATGGACAGTTAACATTTTTGCCAGAGGGGGCAACAAAGCCTTGTGGTCTTTTTGAGCTTGAGTTTTTAAAAACAAAAAAAGGCTGTTATCAAAAATGATCAATGAATCTATAAGTGGTCAAATCCCACAACAGTGTATAAAACTGCATTGAGGCAAAGGGGGGGCTACTTTGAAGAAACCACAATATATCAAATTTGGTCATCAGTTATTTCATAGTTGTAATGCCTTCACTATTACACTGTAATATGGAAAAAGAGATCATATATTTAGCATGATTAGGTGTCCAAACACTTGACTGGTACTGTGTGTGTACACATACTGTATGTGTACTGTATGTCTGAGGGTATGTGCATGTTTTTTCTAAGTTACCGTACCTCTGGCCCTCCAACACCGGGGTGCAGGTGTACTCTGGGGGGTAGTATGGGGGCGGGGGGATGGGTGGGATGAACTCGTCGAAGTCCAGCGTCTGGTGAAGGATGGTGCCATGAGGAGTCATGCAGTCAGCGCTCAGGGCCCGCGCTCTGTGCGGCATGAACTGCAACCAGACAACACACAGATTCACTTTTTACTAAATAACTCATATTCTACATTTTTATTTTTTTCTCTTAGCTCTACTTACAACATTTGTGTGTTTTTTGTACCATAATATTCATTTATACATGACCAAACCTCTCTTTATTCCTTAGAATTTAACAAGCTGTTTTTGTTACTGTGCCCTTAAGACAATATGAAAATGACCTGTGTTCTGAGTGGCTTGCCTGTATTGTACCTCATTCAAAACACAGTCCAGGCTAAAATGCTCCTTATAACTTTAGCATGTATGGGCAGAGCTAAACTGCTGTAGGCTGAAGAGGTGAATATACATAAATATGTTGGTTTTCATGACATCACAAAAACAGTGAGTTAAAAATGGCCTGTTCTTGCAGCTTAGGCTCCATATATGAACTGTACAGACTGGGGAGTAAATGTTACATTTTGAAACTTCAACAACGTTTATACAGTACAATCGAACTATTACATTTAAAAAAAAAGAAAATCCAGTTTTTCATGATATGGCCTCTTGGTGGGTTCCCCTTTTGGGTCTTGGTTCCTCTTGGTGTTTCTTCCTCTTGCTCTCACGGAGTTTTCCTTTTCACTAGCCATGTTTACATGCAGCCTAATAATCCAACTAATAGCTCAATCAGAATAGAGTGTGTCCATGTATTCACATCCAGACTAGTCCCCAAGAGGAACAAAGACCCAAAAGGGGAACCCACCAGATAGCAAAGCAATAAACAGACAGTTTGACCAGGTAATTTGTTAAAGCTCAATCAGAATAGAATACGTCCATGTATACACCTCCACTAGTCTAAATGAGGCCATAAGGAAAACAATTTCTATCCGATTGAACGAGGTGGGTAATCCTGTAAATAATCCATTAAATGCAAGAAAAATAACCATGTAAACGCCTGTATCTGATTACATTCTCACGCTGACTGGACTCATGCTATGCTCGTAGTCATGGTAACGTTTACACTGTACAAGTGGTACTCTATGCATGCACGTAATTTTGATTACTTGTAGCGTGCATGTAAACGGAGGTCTTCCATCAGATTGTTGAGTAGAGAACATAAAACACCTCAGTCTTAATCTATAATCGAAACATATTGAATCAGACTGGCAAAAATCTTTGCATGTAAACACAGCCATTGTTGTACTTGGCTTGCTCTCTTGGGGCTTAGGCCTGAATGTCTGTAAAGCTGCCTGACAACAACAACTGTAAAAAGCACTAAATAAATGAAATTCAATTGAATTTTAAATTTATATGCAAGTTGAAGGTAAAGTTGACATCTACCAATCACCTGGAGTGGATCATAAAAATAAAGTTATTACGTTTTGTAATATTTCACCACTCTGAACAAAAAAATTGTTGCTTATAATTATTATTATTATTACTTATTGAAGCTTTAATTGTACACCCTGAAAGCCCTTTTCATTTGTGTTTCAGGTGGCAGGACGAGTGGGCTGTGGGTGAGCGAGGGTCTTTTGCTACTCCTGCTGTCTGACCCCTGAACTCTCTCTCTCTCTCTCTCTCTCCCTCTCTCTCTCTCACACTCACACACACACACACACACACACACACACACACACACACACACCCACATTTAATCTCTTGTGCCTCTCTGTTTTAAAAACACAGCCGAGGCTCACATTCCTCTACCCCAATAATGAGACAGAGAGAGGGAGAGAGAGAGAGAGAGAGAGAGAGAGAGAGAGAGAGAGAGAGAAAGAATCCATAAAAAGAGAAAAAGACAGAGAGAGACGGAGAGAGAGAGTGAGAGAATCCAGATGAGAGGGAAAAGACAGACAAAGAAACAGAGTGAGAAACTGAGAGAGACTGAGTGAAGAGGTGGAGAGAAAGAGACAGAGTAAGAGATCAAGAGAGAGACAAAGAGAGAGAGATAATCCAGGTGAAAGATAAATAGACAGGGAGAGACAGAGAGAATTCAGATGAGAGACAAATAGAGAGAGAGAGAGAGAGAGGTAGACAGAGAGACAGAGAAACAGAATGTGAGAGAAAGAGAAACAGAGGGAGACGAGAGACAGATAGAGAGGGGAAAGGCGGAGAGAAAGAGAGTGAGAGATCAAGAGAGCGAGAGAGAGACAAAATGAGTAAAAGAGAAAGAGGGAGACAGAGGAACAGATAGACAGAGAGGAAAGAGAGAGAGGGAGACAGGTCTGGAAGTTGATATGAGAGAAAGAGAGAATGACAAAAGGAGAGATAGGGAAAGAGCGAGAAGAGAGGAGGGTGACAATCTAAAAGGAAAGTCAGTTTGAGGAAAAGAAAGAGGGGGACAAAAAGAAAGTGAAAAGAGAGACAGAAAAAGTGCAGACTCAAAACTGATGCAAAATGCACAATACAAAATGTAAATAAGTATATAACTACACCATTATTTATGTAATTATGTGAATAATGGTGTAATTTGAATACATAGCAAACAACAACAGTATCTCTAGACCTGTAAGGGTGAAGAAGCATTAGATGTAAGTTCACTATATTACTACTGTAATGATCAAAGCAGCATGCAGTGTGATTACAGGTGGAAAAGCCAACAGCTTGTCGTGGGCTGTGCTCTGCTCTGTGTGCTTTAAACTGCATTGTCTTTGTGCAGAGAGTGTGGCGCTGGTAGCCGTGGTGATTTTTCGCATTGCCACCCTGCGCCCTGAGACGAAACTAATCCCCCTCCTGCTCCAGCGAACCGCGCAGCCACAGGCATGCTAATATCACCCAGACCAATCGCTCACTCACACACACACACACACACACACACACACACGCACACACACACTCACACACACACACACACACACACACACACACACACACACTTCTTCCACCAGCTTTATTAAAGTTTTCTCTAACACTTCTTATGAATCCTGCATTCACAATGCTTCATAAATGTATTTATGAGGTGTTATATGGCATGCATCATGCCTTGTAATGCCTGGCATAAGCCTTTATAATTGCCTATATGTAGTTATAATTACATGCATAACACATTATAAAGCAAGACAATTTGACTTTATAACATTAGGTTTCATAGCACACAATAATATCTGGACGGAACTTGATGTCATGAAACAATGTGCTCTTGCTTTATAAAGTGTTATGCATGTTATTATAACTATTTATGAGCAATTATACAAGCTTATGCCAGGTATTATAAACTCTTATGTATGCCATATAATGCCTTATGTATGCATTTCTGGAGCATTATGAATGCAGGATTTATAGGAAGTGTTACCAAAATATTTTTTATAGGTTGTGTGAATTTTATAGAGTAATTTATGTTTAGCTAACTGGTAACTGAACAGATATAATGTGCTATGGAACCTGACTTTATGAAGCCATATTTTCTTGCTTTATAAAGTCTTTTGTATGTAATTATAAGTACTTAAGAGCAATTATACAAGCTTATGCCAGGTATTATAAATGCCATGTCATGCCTTATGAATACATTACACAATATACAATGAAGCATTATGAATATAGGATTCATAGGAAGTGTTACCAAAATCATTTTTACAGGTTGTGTGAATTTTATAGAGTAATTTATGTTTAGCTAATTGCTAACTGAACAGATATTCTAATGTGTAACAGAGCCTGATGTTATGAAGCAGTTCACTCTTGCCTTATAAAGTGTTATGCATGTTATTATATCTACTTATGAGCAATTATACAAGCTTATGCCAGGTATTATAAACTCTTGTACACCTTATGAATGCATGTATGAAGCATTACGAACACAGAATTTATAGGAAGTGTTAACAAAATTATTTTTATATGTAGTGTGAATTTTACAGAGTCATGTATCTTTGGCTAACTGAACAGATATTATAATGTGTTACAGAACCTGATGTTATGAAGCCATTTGCTCTTGCTTTATAAAGTGTTACACATGTTACTATAACAATTTATATTTTATGAGCAATTCTACAAGCTTATGCCAGTATTATAAGCTCCTATGTACGCCATATAATGCCTTATAAATGCATTTATGAATACAGGATTTATAGGAAGCGTTACCAAAATAATTTTATATGTAGTGTGAATTTTATAGAGTAATTTATGTTTAGCTAACTGGTAGCTGAACAGATATTATAATGTGCTACAGAACCTGATGTTATGAAGCCATGTGCTCTTGCTTTTTTAAGTGTTGCACATGTTATTATAACTATTTATGAGCAATTCTACAAGCTTATGCCAGTATTATAAGCTCTTATGAGTATAATAGAATCTATAGGCATCTATAATGCCTTATAAATGCATTTATGAAGCATTATGAACACAGGATTTATAGGAAGTGTTACCAAAATAATTTTATATGTAGTGTGAATTTTATATAGTAAGTTATTTTTAGCTAACTGGTAACTGAACAGATATTATAATGTGTTACGGAACCTGATGTTAAGAATCCATACACTCGTTTTATTATTTTGGGGTGCAGGTGTTCAAAGAAATAAAAAAAGACTGAAGTTTACAGCATACGGCATGCGCTTTTATCCAGAGAGACAGTCTAATCATGTTTCAGAGGAAGGCAAATGTAAGGTAAGAAAAAGACAAAATAATACAGTTAGAAGAGAGTGCTATTGCTTTACCAGGACTTTGAACCACCAATGTCCCATTTCCAAGGCAGCAACATCATCCACTTTTTTAACTGACTGCTACAGAAAAGAGAATTATAACTCTCCTTAAGCAGGTGGTCTCTTTAAGAGCTTCACAGAGCCTTGCATAAATCTATTTTTTTCACTTGGTTTAGCAGGTTATTAGCCCCTTCTTACTGCCAACACTGTGTTTGGTGGCAGCTCGAAGAGCTTAACATTAATAGAAGAAATTATGAGTAATAAATTAAAAGCATATAAGGCAGTGACAGATCAAACTGTAAAGATAAATATTAAAAAAGAGATGTAGAATTTTAATTAAACACTAAGTTAAAGAGATACGTTTTCAAATGAAGTGTGCACTGTGGTTGACTGTCTAATAAAAAGTGGGAC